TCTTTGGGGAGCGGCTCATCACGTGCGGGGTGGCAAAGGGGCTGGCGGCGCCAGAATGAGTGTGCGTGAGATGCGCGCCAGGGGAGGCGGTCAAGGCTCAAGCATGGTGGAACAAAGGAACAAAAATATGCCACCCAATCCGCCCAGAGGTGAGAGGACAGAAAAAAGAATTGCTTTAGAAGAAAAACGAGCACGCATATTCTCCCCCCGAAACACACAAACACCCCTCGTCCCTGCATGGCGTGGCAGAGGCTAGTTCCATTTCACTGTGGCACAGCTCGCGTTACAAAACCTTGATTTGACCATTTGCGCAAAAAGGTACATCTCGGTGCCTTCCAGAGGCAGCTGCGACCCCGCCGAGTAGACGGTTGCACACAGCAGGTGGCGCGGTGTGCAACCGTCCACTCGGCGGGGTCGCAGCTGCCTCTGCGTGTCCTGGGGAGGGACAATAGTGTCGCCGCCGAAGGCGACTCGACGCCGCTGAGATCGGAGATCAAGCTCTGACAGGTCGCACGTCGCTCCTTTGACGCCGACGTGACTCACCCGTGCAGAGCACATCAGGACACGGTCTCGACACGCTCGGTATCCCATTAGGCAGCCTGGGAACGGTGGCGGTCAGAGGCAAAGCCTACGAGGGGTGGTGGAACCACATGTCACGGCCACCGCCGGCTCGACCCCACGATAGCCTCCGAAGGCTGACTTTGAGGCACCATCATCGGACGATGTTGACGAGTTGGGTCGCTCTCGCGGTAGCCAGATGACCTCCCATACTAGTATCATCGGCCAGGGCCGCAGCGCGCAGGAAGCGCGGGGGAGCGGGAGGGCGCTGGGACGAACACACGGAGTTCCGTTGGACGCGTTTTCAAGATTAGCGTGTCAGAGTGAATTGGAACTAAAGCCGATTTTACTTTTTAGCCAATGCCGTCTCACCAAGGTAAGGTAAGGTAGAGCCGTACGCCAACCACCGAACCAGGCCCGCATGTACATACTCGCCGGAGCGACCCCAACTAACAACCGAACTAAGGCCGTGCCCGGGCATCGGCATTTGCACAAAAAAGGCCGTACACACATGCTCGGCGCGCGATACACACACACATACTCGCCGGAGCGACCGACCCCAACTAAGGCCGTGCCCGACGAAGTGGTGGGCCGCCCTCTGATAGACAGACGCCACCCGCGAAAGCTAGCGGTCACGCCTCGGACAGCAGCGCCTTTGTGCGCTCGTACGCGACTAGCCGGCTCGCCGTGACGAGCACCGCCCGTGACGTGCTCGCCAGCGCGCCGCGATAGAAGCCTGCGCGCCATGAACACACCAGGGTCGGGGCGGGAATACGTGCAGTGTACTCGGAGCACCGCGATAGTACGAGGGCTACGAACACAGCTGAACGCCGCTCAACACAGTCGAGTGCGCGCCCTCTCGAGTGCTGGTCGGAACACGCGGGGGTCTGGACTCCACATCTGGGGCCTCGAGATGTGGGGAGATATGGGGAGATATGAGATCTCGTCTTTCGCATCTAGGCCTCGAGATGTGGGGAGATATGGGGAGATGTGGGGAGATGTGGGGAGATGTGAGATCTCGTCGTTCGCATCTAGGCGTCGAGATGTGGGGAGATATGGGGAGATACTCCGCATCTAAGCCTCGAGATGTGGGCAGATGGGGAGATATGGGGAGATACTCCGCATCTAGGGGCAGATGCCGGCCACCCCTCCTCGCTCCCACACGTGCCGCGTCGCGCCGGCGACCGTCGACAGCGGCGGCGCCTGCGGCGGAGGGAGGGGAGGCGCAGATGCGGCGACTCTCGGGCGGTCCTGTCGGCTCCTGTCTACTCCTCTCTGCTGCCTCTCTGCTGCCTCTCGGCTCCTCTCTGCTCCTCTCTGCTCCTCTCGGCTCCTCTCGGCTCCCTCTCGGCTCCTCTCGGCTCCTCTCGGCTCCTCTCGGCCCCTCTCGGCTCCTCTCGGCTCCCCTCGGCTCCTCTCGGCTCCTCTCGGCTCCTCTCGGCTCCTCTCGGCTCCTCTCGGCTCCTCTCGGCCCCTCTCGGCTCCCTCTCGGCTCCTCTCGGCTCCTCTCGGCTCCTCTCGGCTCCTCTCTGCTCCTCTCGGCTCCTCTCGGCTCCTCTCGGCTCCTCTCGGCTCCCTCTCGGCTGCCTTGTTTGCGGCGGCGCGGTCAAGCGGCTGGCTCTGCTGCACCGACTTGACCGTGTCGAAGCCGTAGCAGCTTAGCCATGCGAGCGCACCGACCGGAGCGCTGAGCGCGAGCACGTGGCCGCTGTGCAGCGCCTGCGGACCGTGTCGCGGGCGTGTCGTGGACATGTCGTGGACGTGTGCATGTGCATGTGCATGTGCATGTGCATGTGCATGTCGTGGACATGTCGCGGGCGGGTCCGGCACGTGTCGCGGACGTGTCTCGGAGGGGTCGAAGACGTGTCTCGGAGGTGTCTCGGAGGTGTCTCGGACGTGTCTCGGACGTGTCTCGGACGTGTCTCGGACGTGTCTCGGAGTAGTCGAAGGTGTCTTGGAGCTGGGCCGTCTCTCGTATCCGAGGTCCGTGTCGTGTCTCGGACATGTCTCGGACGTGTCTCGGACATGTCTCGGACGTGTCTCTCCTGCTCCCCATGCGCGAGCTCGAGCCGCTGCCGCAGCCTCGAGTAGAGGCCGAGATACACCGCCTGGAGGGGACATGTCGCGGGCATGTCGCGGACGTGCCACGGCAGCCCGCGAGCAGGGAAGCCGGAGACAAGGGCACGCCGTGAAGACGCCCTCGCGGAGCATGTTCATCGAGCCTCCGACCGAGAGCCTGTCCGAGGGTCCTCGTACTGAGGTAGTACTTTACACCCGACCGGCCGAGGCCGTGAGAGGTGCTTTCGCGGCGCTAGCTGGAACGCTGGGATTGCGCCCTTCTTCCGCACATCTAGGAGCACGGCGCGTGGACGCGACTCCGACGGCGCCGGACCGCGCCGCCAGCCGCCGGAGGATCGAGAGCGGGTGTCCGCCCCGGAGCTGCACCTGGATCTTGAGCAGGTCCATCGGCGTCGAGAGAAGAGACTGCGCGAGGCCAGAGACCGCGCCTGCTGCTAGCGCGCCTCCCGTCGTGTCTGGCAACGCCGACTGCACCTCTTCGAAGACGACGAACATGACCGTGTTCATCAGCACCGAGTTTAGGAGCGGCACGCCGACACCGCGAAAGAAGGCGGGCACGCCGCTCTCTCGCAGCATCGCCAGTGCACACGCCCACGTCGTCAGGCCGGGCTGCTGCAGGTGCTGCATCCGCACCTTGACCGCGTCAAGCGGCGCGCCGAGGATGGTGGAGGCAAAGCCGGCCGCAGAGCCGGCGATGAGCTCGTCGGTGATGCTCGACATGGACTGTGTTTTTGCTGCTGCCACGCGTACGAGCAGTTCGACGAGCTCACCTAGCAGCAGGGTTCGGACTTTTTGCGGGGTATGGGCATACCTCCCCCCCCCCCCCCCGCCTGCTGACAGACCCAACCTCCCGGAGACCGGGGATGGGCGGTCAGGACCATACCCCCCCACCCTTTGGGCCGTGACATACCATACCATACCCCGCAAAAAGTTGGAACCCAGCGCAGACCGCAGCTGGTTGTTCAGAAAATCTGTCGCGTGGCCATCACGCTCGCACCTGCCGACCGCCGCCACGCACGTGCTCCCTGTTTGTTGCGGACGTCGCCGGCTCCCCGTTTGTTGCTCACGCTGGCCGGCGCGTAAAACTGTGCTGGCAGTTGTCAAGCCGTACCCGTCGCGTTTCGAAAAAGAGCCCTCGATCGACCCCTCTAACACAAAAACAATCTCCCCTCTACACGCACTGTGTCACCGCTCTGCACAAATGCTACCGTGGACATCAAGCTCCTCGACTCGATCTGCGGCTACGACGGCGCTCTAGCTGCTGGCTCTCGCGGGTGTCTGGCGACCCGCTCAGGCTTGCGAAACGGCCGGCCGTGGCGACGTGTTTCGAGCTCGGTGGTCTTCTCCGCCCGGCTGGGGCCGCTCCTAGTCGGGGCCGACCCGCCCGGTCACTGGGCAGCGCGTGCGCCGTCATCCTGGACGACGGTGTGCCGATGCATCCGGGAGGCTCCGCGGGGCTGCTCTAGCAGCCTCGGGAGGGTCGAAAATCGAAGCCGGAGCAGCGGACCACGGAAGCTCCACGGACGGTGAGGCGGGCTGTGGTTGGCCCCCCCCGACCGGGTGAGGGAGTGGCGCCCCGGGAGTACCGCTCCGGCGACGTCTGTGGCCTCCACGGCACTGTGACCGCGGTGCTCGCTCTCGCGGCCGTCTCGCGACCCGCTCGAGACGAAAACCGGACCGGACGGTGCGACGCACCGCGAGTGGGATGGTCTTCTCCGCCCGGCTGGGCCCGCTCCTAGTCGGGGCCGACCCGCCCGGTCACTGGGCAGCGCGTCCGCCGTCCCTCCGGGATGTGAGGGGCCGATGAGTTCCTCGGCCCGCGCGGAAGTGTCTCGGAAACACGGAAAGGCCTCGTGGAGCCGGACAGACGACGCAGCCGCGAAGGGCCCGAGGTGCTTCGCCGACGGTGAGGCGGGCTGTGGTTGGAGCCACCGGGCGGGAGGCGGGCATGGTCCACCAGCGGCATGGCTGCGAGCACGCTGGCCGGCTCCACGGCACTGTGACCGCGCTGAAGCAGCCCTCGGCAAGGCCCCTGAGGCCGCCGGAGAGCCTAAAAGTGTGAGCGGGTACGTATATAACGGGAAGGACAGTACTCCCCGCAGCTTACTCGAACCCGCCGCCACCCGGAGCAGCTCTGGTCGTGCTCGGGACGGGGAGAGGAAAGTTCGGGGCACAAGAGCGTCGAGTAAAGTCCGGGGAAACTGCGGGATCGGTGCCATTACCCGTGGCCCGGGACCCGGCGGCGAAAGTTTGGTTCCGTTCGGCCACACGGACGTTAGCGGCTGTGGTTTCGGCCTGCACCTTCACACGGCTCCGAGAGGGGCTCGAGAGGCCGGAGACAGGTCACCTTGGCGCTCGCGTCGAGCTGCGAGGCCGGATCCGAGGCCGCCAGGCCGTTGGTAGCACCGGATGGAACGCCCGCGCAGCCGATTTTTATACGCGAAAAGTACCCGACGGACTCACGAGGGCACACACTCGGCGGTCTCGCGACAGAGACTGCTCACGGGGAGGAAAGAACATAAGCTAAGGATGGGGACGCGGTTAGGGGTGCCGTCTTCGAGTCTGGCGGCTCGCCCGGGACGAACGCTCGAGCCTCCGCCCCTCGGACGGGCTCCGGAGAGCGCGCGTACCACCGCGTCGGCGGGCGGCGGAGCTGGCGGGAACGGCAGGACCGAAGGCGGCGACGCGGGAGACCGGTGCGGTCGCAGCGCTGCAGAGCTGCAGCACCACGACCGCATCGACTGAGCGCATCGGCATGCGCGAGAGGAGGGTGTGCGGGTGCATGCCCGGGCCGTGAGGGCTGGCCGAAGCGCCGCGTCGCGGTCGCGGGTCGGGCGGCCGCCAGCATGCGATTTTGAGAGAAGAGGCCTCATTCACAATTCTCAAGAACCACCATCGAAAAGTACGCGACACCCGATTTACACCTTCTATGAATCAACAAACCAGTAGCGCGCTGAGCCCCCGCTGTGCGCTGATGTCCGTGGCGTGTGCGCGCGCGGTGTGCTGTGCAGCGTGAAGGTCGTCCGCTCAGACAATCTGGCGGTCCTGCGTCGCTGACGCTTCCACAACGTCGTCGCCATTCGACGGCTCCGTTTGTGTAGAGGGGCCGCGGATCGCTAGAGCGGGAGCGCGGTGGCGCGGCGCACGCGCGACTGGGCGGTCTGCTTGGTCGCGCCGAGCGCCGTTGCGAGCAGGGCGAGCGACACCTGCCGGTGCGGGCCCGCGTGGCAGCCGACGGCGAGGTCGTGGTACAGCCCATCGGCAATCAGGTCGCGTGGCGTCACCTCGAAAAAGTGGCCAAAGATGCAGCCGCCGCAGGCGGCGTCGTTCTCGTGCGCCATGACGATCGGCAGCCTGGCGCGGCGCGCGGCGCGCACCTGCTCTCCGAGCGCCTCGGCGCCATCGCCGGCCCACGTCGACCTGTTCAGGTAGAGCAGCATGTGCGTCGCCTCATCGCCATCTCCGCCGCTGTGGCTCGAGCGAGGCAGCGAGGAGAGGCGCGAGGGCGTTGCGTCGGTGATCGAGACGCCGCCAGCCACGGCCGCCGCGACCGCATCGGCGAGATCTCGCGCCCCGGCGTTCAAAGTCGAGGCCCAGAGAACCACCGGCTTGGGGAAGGCGAGGTTGTCGGCTCGGACCTCGCCCGGGATGCACAGGGGCAGCTCGTCCTCGCCCGCGAACTTTGGCGTCTTCAGCAGCAGCGCCTCGGCGATGACCTTGAGCGAGACGTGCTGGAAGGACTCGATCCGATGCCACACCGCCATCGGCCAGCCGGCGTCAAAGATGGCGGCCCGCAGCTCCTCGGGGCACTCGGATCGCAGCTCGGCGAGCGTGCCTCCGCCCTTGTCCGGGTCTGCCTCGTGGACGAGCACGAGCGGCTTGCCCATCTCCAGCGCGGCGCGGACCTCGCGCAGGCAGTTCGTCGAGCGCAGGTAGCCCCGCGACAGGAAGCAGAGCACCACCTGCGAGCGACGAATGTACGCCTCCAGCTCTCCGATGTTCTTGAGGTCGTCGACGTCGAGGAAGATCTCGCAGCCGGGCAGGAACTGCAGGAGCTCGTTCTTGATGACGGCGACGGCGTCCTGCAAGGGAGGAAGGCAGGTCAGAGGTACCCTCTCCGCACATGCAAAGCCGTGGGGGCAAGGGGGCGGCAAACCTGGCCCGTGCTCCAGACGTGGCTGAGGAAGAGGTGCCACTGCTGGCCGTCGGCGAGGGTGATGCCGTCGCGCATCGGCTCCCGCTTCGACGAGACGAGCCGCATGGTCTTCGCCCTCGAAGCACTGACCGCCAATACAACGATGACGGCTAGCGAGATGGCGAGCATGACCGCGGTGAGGAGGACGACGAAGGTGGTGGCGCCGCGAGAAGTCGTGTAGCCAACGAGGGTGTAGCACATGTCTTCGTACGCGGTGCTGTCGCACAGCTGCGGCGGTGGGGAGCTAGTGGTGTGAGGTTGCGCGGATGAGGGAGAGAGAGGGAGGCGAGGCAGTGCCAGCAGGGGCGCGGACCTGGATGACTACTCCCGACGCGAAGCAGCATGTCAGGAGCAGGTTGGCGATGCACGCGAGGCAGAGGTCGTCGGAGCGCCGGTAGGGTCGGGCGAGCGCTAGGCAGGTGAGAAACATGGCCGAGACGATGGCGGCAACCACGGTGCGCAGCAGCTTGCGGGAGCCGTAATCCTGGTCGATGAAGAGCACCATCGAGGTGAGGAAGATCTTGCGGACCAGGTCGAGCACCTCCCAGAAGAGGAAGCGGCCAGAGTAGTCCCGCCACAGGAAGCTCGTCGCACGAGAGAGCGGCGTTGCGCGCTGCGCAGCCACGGGCTTGCGGACGCGGAGCAGCAGCGCCAAGAAGCCGAGCGGCACAAGGACGGGCCAGAGGGCGAAGAAGGCCCAAAAGTACGGCGCGAGTCCGCTCGTCTCGTCGTCCCACGTAGGGCCGGCGTCGCACGTGAGCGACGGGTCGGCGAGCAGGAAGCTGATGCGCTGGCCTGTCGCGTCGTCGTAGCGAAAGGACTCGCACAGCCTCGCGCTGAAGATGGAGCGCGAGACGGAGGGAAGCACCAGGTAGAAGATGAAGATCGCCCAGTAAAGGAGGCGGCCGAGCAGCTGGCGGTCGAATGCCTGCTTGTTGTTGAGGACCGCCGCCGCCACCACAATGGCGAGCGACACGAAGGCGACAGCGGCGTACGGCCAGGTGCCCGCGACGAGCAGCCGCGTGCTCATGGCTCCGATGCAGCTGCCGGGGATGGCGACGCCGAACAGGTCCAGGCTGAACAGCTTGAGCACGTCGAGCCAGCGGGTAAAGTGCTCGTCGAGGCGGACGCCGTAGACGAGGCCGAGGGTGATGCTCACCTGGTAGAAACTGACGACGACCTTGAACTTGGGCTGCAGGCCGACCGCGGACTCGATGCGGGCGGCCCGCCTTCGGAGGCGGCGGGAGATGGGGAGGCGACGGAGCCCAGCGTAGGCGGCGGCGAGCACAGCGATGACGATGACAAAGCCGACAAAGATGCCGGCGGAGCGAGCCGTCGAGGGGCAGGCGACGCAGCGCCCCTCGGCAGAGCTAAAGTAGTCCGAGTCCGCGACGCAGACCTCGCAGAGCGGGCCGGTGTGGCCGGCGGCGCAGTACGGGTCGCCGTCTCCGTCGGTGAGGCGGCGGCGGCGGGAGGGCTGGCCGGAGCCATCAGAGCACGTCTCTGAGTCACAGCGGTGGAGCTCCGAGGTGGCGTCGGAGGCGCGCCAGTAGCCGGCGTCCACGCCGAGGGACGCGAGAGTGGTGCCGGCGTTGCAGTTGGCGTGAAGCGGGCACGACTTGCAATGGTCGGTCGGGTTCTCAAAGACGTCGTCTGGATCGGCGCTCGCGTCCTTCAAGTAGAAGTCCTCTTTGCAGATGGAGCAAGTGACGTCGCCGCTCTTGGAGCTGAGGGGGTGGGGGCAGAGAGTGCACTGCGAGAGGCCCTCGCTCGCCGCGTAGGTGTCCGCCTCGCACTCCTCGCAAGCGGTGCCGGAGGCTGCGTAGTGGCCGATAGGGCAGAGCTCGCAAGCGGGCATGTTGGCCGAGGGGGCGATGCTGCCTGGAGCGCACGCCGTCTGCTGCGTCGAGCCCGTGGTGGCGAAGTGGCCCGGTGAGGCGTCGGTGCACTCGCTCGCGGCGGAGAGGTTGGTGGCGCGCGAGTAGCTGCCAGCCTCGCACGGCAGCGCCGCCGCCGCGCCAACAGCGCAGTAGCCGCCCGCCTCGCATGGCTTGCACGCCGTCTGCGCCTCCGCGTCCTGGTACGTGCCGCCGGCGCAGGGCGTGCACTCGCCCTGCCTGGTCTCGTTCGTGTACGACCCCTTGGCGCACGCCGTCTGCTGCGTCGAGCCCGTGGTGGCGAAGTGGCCCGGCGAGGCGTCGGTGCACTCGCTCGCGGCGGAGAGGTTGGTCGCGGTCGAGTAGGAACCCGCCTCGCACGGCAGCGGCGCCGCGGCGCCCACGGCGCAGTAGCCGCCCTGCTTGCACGCGCGGCAGCCCGTAGCGCCCGTATCGCTCTGGTAGGTCCCGCCCGCGCACTTGTCGCACGCCTCCATCCGCTCGGTCGGCGCGATCGTGCCCGCCGCGCACTGCGTCGGACGCGCGGCGCCGCCCGGACACGACGAGCCCGCCGGGCAGTCGAAGCAGTCGGGGATGCCGTCGCCGTCCGTGACGTTGGCGTATGTACCCGGCTCGCACGCCGCAGGCAGCTCGAGCGACGCGCCGACCGGGCAGAAGCTGCCACGCTTGCAGCGGGTGCACTCCTCGGCGCCACTCGAGTTCTGATAGAATCCCGCGGCGCACCGCTCGCACTTGGCGAGGCCGGGTGTGGCGGCGAAATGGCCGGGCTCACACGGCGAGCACGTCTCTCTGCTTTCCGCGCCCCGCGTTGCGCTCGCGGTGCCGGCGGGGCAGAGCTCGCACGCGGCGCTCGAGTTGGAGCCGTTGGCCGGGTTGAAGCTGCCGGCGGGACACGGCTCCCAGACCATGCGGGTAGCGGCGCCCGCCTCCTCGCAATGGCCTCCGCGCGGGCAAGGGTCGCAGGCGGCGAGGCCGACGTCGGGAGAGAAGGAGCCCGCTGCGCAAGGAAGGCACTCCTCCTCTCCCGCGAGGGGCTGATGCTGGCCCGGAGCGCACGGGATGCAGCTCTCGCTGCTCGCCGCGCCGAGGGCGGGCATGCGAGTGCCGACCGGGCAGGGCTCGGGGTCGGCGGTCCCCGCCTCGCAAAAGTGGCCTCTGGTGCACTGGCCGCTGCAGGAGGAGTTGAAAAGGCCGCTCGTGTTACCATAGTAGCCAGCGGGGCAAGGGTTGCACTCGGGGACACTGAAGTCGCCCTCAAAGGCGCCCTTGGTCGGCATCCAGCTGCCCAAGCGGCATACCCAGTCGATCTCCGAGTTGAGAGTCTGGATCGTGACACCGTCGTTGCCAGTGAAGGAGGCGTTGCTGATGGAGGTTTGTTCGTGGTTGTGCAGGTACAGCACCGAGCCTGTTGAAGCCGAGTTGTTGATGAAGTCGACACCCGCGATGGAGAGGGACTCGCTGTTATACGCGTCGACGACGCCGCCGGACTGCGGTTGCGAGGAGAGAGCGGGGTGAGGCAGCCGTGGCCCTCTCCATCTCTCGCCCCGCTGCCGTGCGGCGCTGCAGGCGGGCGGCCAGCTCTACGCGGCGCACCCAGCCAGCCGAGCAGCCCGACACGGTCGAGCCGATTATCGAGACCGCACCGCTGTTCGCATTCGCGTCGACGACGCCGCCGGACTGCGGTTGAGGAGAGGGCGGGGTGAGGCAGGCCGGCCCTCTCTACCTCTCGCCTCGCTGCCGTGAGGCGCTGCAGGGCGGCTAGCTCTACGCGGCGCACCAGGCGAGCAGAGCAGCCCGACACGTTCGAGCTGGTTATCGAGACCGCACCGCTGCCCTTCGCGTAGACGACGCCGCCGTCCTGCGGTTGCGAGGAGAGAGCGGGGTGAGGCAGCCGTGTCCCTCTCTATCACTCGCCCCGCTGCCGTGCGGCGCTGCAGGGCCGGCGGCTAGCTCTACGCGGCGCACATACTCAGCCGAGCAGTCCCTGACGGTCGACTCGATGATCTCGACGTCGCCTGCGCCGTCCGCGGCCACAACGCCGCCGCTACCTTCGTCCGCCCTCCCGTTGACGAGGGTCAGCCCCCGCAGGGTGAGGCTGCAGCCGCCCGAGAGGAAAAAGAGCCTGGTCTCTCGCTTGCCGTCGAGCGTCGCGCCCTCGCCGCTGCTCGCGACGGTCACTTTGATGGTGGAGGTGCAGCTGATCTGGCTGCTCAGCTTGAAGTGCGCACTGGGCGGCAGGTAGATGGAGACGTCGGCAGACGTCGGCTCCTCGATCAGGTTGCGGAGCTGGTCCTCGCTCGCCGCGGCGACATAGCCGGGGGAGAGCGGCGGCAGCGGCGGCGGCGGCGGCGGTGATGGCGGTGGAGGCGGCCGGGTCGCCCAGCAGATCTGACGGCAGAGGGAGGAGGGCATCAGAGAGGAGAAAGAAGGGGAGCGAGAGGGACCACAGGGGCGCGCCTTCCAGCCCGACTCGACTACGCTGCCATCCGATCGCCACTCGATAACGCCGTCCTCCGCCACCGCGCCACTCGGCCCCGAGGTGCCGCAGTACGTTATGCCGTTGACGGTGAGATAGTCCCAGCTGCAGCTGCTGTGCGCCTCCACATCAAAGGCGACCGTCTCCAGCTCGACCGTCGGCACGCCGCTGATGGTGCACTCCTCGCTGTTGCCGTAGCTGTTCGGGTAGTTTGGCGACGCGGCGCACGAGCCGCCGTCGGTGAGCGAGCACGGGCCGGTGATGAAGTAGCCGCCAGGGAGGAGCGGCGGCGGCGGGATGGAAGGCGGCGAAGGCGGCGAAGGCGGTGATGGCGGAGACGGCGGTGGCGGTGAAGGCGGTGAAAGCGGTGGAGGCGGTGGAGGCGGCGCTGATGGCGGTGAAGGCGGGCGGGTCGCCCAGCAGATCTGACGGCAGAGGGAGGAGGGCATCAGAGAGGAGAAAGAAGGGGAGCGAGAGCGACCAGGGGCGCGCCTTCCAGCCCGACTTGACTACGCCGCCATCCGATCGCCACTCGATGACGCCGTCCTCCGCCACCGCGCCACTCGGCCCCGAGGTGCCGCAGTACGTTATGCCGTTGACGGTGAGGTAGTCCCAGCGGCAGTTGCTGTCCGCCTCCACATCAAAGGCGACCGTCTCCAGCTCGACCGGCGGCACGCCGCTGATGGTGCACTCCTCGCTGTTGCCGTAGCTGTTCGGGTAGTTTGGCGACGCGGCGCACGAGCCGCCGTCGGTGAGCGAGCACGGGCTGCTGACATTGACGGGCTGGAGCGATGCCGCTGGTGTGCCGCATACGCCCTGCAGGAAGAAGAGGATCACAATGCCGACTCGGAGAGCACGTTTGCTGGCGAGCAAGGGTACGGAGACCGCTGCGTGGCTGCGGCCCTCCACCCTCGTCTTCTTGACCTGCCCACGCAGCAGCGGCTCAAGGAACGCCGCGAGGAGCAGCGCCAGCACGGCCGCACAAGGGTGGAGAAAGAGCAGCGAGGCCACATCGATCTCTGGGAGGGCCGTGGCGGTCGTGAAGCTCTCCTCGAGTGAGGGGTCGCCGATCTTGGTCGCGCCGGTAGCCTCGCCAAAGGAGGCGAGCTCGGCGTAGGCGCCGATGTTGAGCTTCATGGAGGTAGGCGGGTAGGTCTTACCGATCCCGGTCTCGATCTTGGAGTGGGCCGTGGTGGTCGTGCAGTCCGCCTCGTCCGTCGTGGAGCCCGGGACAGGCTTGTTCTGTGAGGGGGGGGGGGGGGTGTTGGGGCGGAGGCGGGGACGGCGCGCAGCGGAGGCGCCGATGTGGGGCCCACGGTGTGGGAACGGGGAGCGAGGGCGGGGCGAAGGGGGGGCGAGAGAGGGCAAAGGGCGGCGCAGGGGAGGGCGGCGGAACAGGGAAAGGCGGCTAGGGAGGTGGGGGGG